TCCCACAACACAGTGACATGACATGACATGACTTTACAAAGACTTTGAATTTATCCACAAGTTTTCATGAGGACGTGGCAGATTAATTGCTATAAATATAATCTTTAGTACAAACTATAAATGAAAACTCCAAGGCAGCACTGGAATGTGTGGATGCAGTTTTGTTGGGTTTGACTTTCCATCTTGTTCTAACAGCACAATACTGTAAGATACAGTACAGTTGTCTTACCATAAACATTTAAAGTCCTTGAAGTGATTGGTCCTTGACCAAGACATTTACAGTGTGTACACAGGAAACAAAAATTTTAGAAAAAAAGAGAAAATTTTATTGAACTATATACAGTTCAGGTTCAGTCTATGCATAAATATAAGGATGCATGAATACTAGCATAAATATTATAGTGCTAAAAATGCTGTTAAAATAAAAAAACCCTGCTGTTATCACTCTTACTCTCAGACCATTTTTTCCCCAATATATACCAATATTCATAACTGCTCTTTTATATAACAGTATCCATATAAAGGGCATTATCAGTATATCAGCCTGGGCAAAAATGTCAAACCTATGCCTAACACAGATCCATAAACTCAGGAGCACAGGGAGATATAAAGATCTATGAGGGGTTTAAATGCAAAAGGAAAATTAGCTATTGAACAACTAACAATAATTTTGTTGAAAGAAGCCTTGCATTTGTATAAGCATTCTGACAGTTTTGGATCAAATCCACCTTATCAACATTCCTGACATTTTCCTAATGACAGTAGGAGAGCTCACAGACTAACTTACTTCATCCCTTGGAAAGTTCTGCAATTTTAAAATTTGAAATAACTTAAATCTTTACCATAAAAAATTCCCAGAAAATGTCTCAAACAAACCACCATTAAGCAGATTCCCAGTACTACTCCTGTTTTGCATAATCCCGGATAACAAGAGGCTGGAGGGGTTCACTTTTATTGGCTGGAAAGTAGGATGTTCCTAAGCTAAATAAAAACAAGTAGATGAACAAAAAATATTTCTAATCTTTGGGAAAACAGAATGAGCACTTGCTCCTTTGTTAATATGTTAAGTAACAGTTCCAGTTTTCTGGATTTTATTTGGAAGCAATATATGAGGTTTTAGGATAGCAGAAGTATTGTGGAGATTGATACTTTACTTTGCTTTCACAACTATTTCTTTTCATAACTGGCTATGTTGTTAACCTCCAATCCTTAAAAATAATTGTGTTAGAGCATGAACATCTGAGTGAAGGACAAAAGAGCTATCCTGGTTTTGGCTGGTGTAGAGTTAATATTCTTCACAGCTGGTGTGGGTTATGTTTTGGATTTGTGCTGAAAAAAAATATTGATAATGCAGAGATATTTTCAGTACTGCTGAGCAGTGTTTACAGAGTCAAGGCTCTTTCTGATTCTCACATCACCCCACCAGTGGGTGGGTACAAGGATTTGGGAGGTGACACTGGTACAGCTGACCCTAACTCAGCCAGGGGATATTCCATGCCATATGGTGTCATGTTCAGCATAAAAAGCTGGAGGAAGAAGAAGAAGAAGAAAGGAAGGAAAGCTCAAAGTGATGGCATTTGTCTTCCCAGGTCACCATTACACCCACTGAAGCCTTGTCTGCCCGTGGGACGTGGTGAGTAAATTCCTTTGTTTGCTTTGCTTATGCAAGTGGCTTTTGCTTTTCCTATTAAATATCTCAACCCACAAGTTTGCTCACTTTAACTTATCTGATTCTCCCTCACATCCCACTGAAGCAGAAGTGAGTGAGTGTCTGTGCAGCTTAGTTGCTGGCTGGGATAAAACCACAGCAGGACATAACTCTGTAGCCTGCCAGAGACTCGTTTTGGGAAGGATTTTGTACAAGGGAAAGAATAAGTAGCAGAAACAGAAAGAGGCAATGAGATACAGATGCAATAGACAATACTGTTCTGGCTAAAGACGAGCCAAGCACCTGTGAAACGCAGCAATCTTCAAACTTATGAGCATCAGAGGTATCAACCTTTCCTGTCTGCACTCATTCTCTCAAGGCATTTTGGAGTAAAACTTATTTCAAAAGAAAAAACTTGGTCTCATCACCAGTGAATCTGTATTTTAAAAACAGATTGTCAACAAAAAAATGGTTTCCTACAAAGCTTACTTTGACTACAAAGACTGTTAGAAGCCCTGCTTGGTTCTTATTCTGCAATATGGTGATCCATTCTAGACTGTCTGACAGAAGGAACACTGGATTTCCCAACTTTAGACCTGGACAATTCATGACAGAAAGTACACAATGAGAATTTAAGGATAAATGTCAGTATGACACACTGCCAATTTTATCTCAAACTTTATAAGACAAATATATTTAGATATAATTCTGTTGCTTCCTTCAGTCACGTTTTTTCACTTAATTAGTCACAGTGGTAAGGACTAGAATAGGTATATAGGAAGCAGTTAGATAGAGGCTTGTATCACATATGCTTTCTCTGATGAGAGACCAAAGTGGGTACTTTAGAAAGAAATGAAATTTGCAGAATGAGCATTGGTAATTCCTTAACAACTTAGTCTTCAGGTTGATTTCCTTAAGGTTATGTCCTTAGATTGAGTAATCTTAAGAAATTGTTTTGAATCTGGCACATTTTACAGCATTCCTGACAATGAGTTACATAGTTATATTTTGTTCTCAATTAAAACACATTTAATTTTTTATCCTAGTCTCTAAATGTCTCTAAAGACATTCTATTAATTTCATTTGATGTTCTCTGGTTCATGCCTTGGGATAAAGGCTGAAGTAAATTCTTCTTTCTAGGTCACTCATATGGCAAACACAATTTCAGTTTCCTCTTCCACACAGTGTTGAGTACATGTGTGAGAAGAAGCTCCTTACTCTCCATATGACAGTCCCTCTCAGTCAGTCTCCACGCTCCAGATCCAGAGAGGAGGGGATGGGGATGACTGCTGGACCCAGTAACTGACCAATAAAAAACTGTTTTTGTAAGCAGGAATGTTCCAGCACGTCAGTAACTAGAGCCAGCTGCAAAAAGAAAACAAAAAAGACCACAGTAGCCAAACAAAAAACCCAAACACCACTAAAAACTCAACAAAAAAAACCAAACCCAGAGCAGTATCTTGAACCAATTCTGAGAGATTCCACTATGCCCTCCAGCAAGTTCCTCTCCCTGACACTTCTCTTTTTCCTCTTGGATGAAGAACCAAGAGGTTCATGAACTCAGAAGTGTCTCTCTCACTCATGGCTCTGTAAGCCACCCTCAGAACCAGCTGATATTTCCAAAATGAAGGAATGACTTTCAGTTCAAAAATTAGGCAATGCAAAAAACTCCTTGGCTTACAAAAAAGCGAACAGATTCTTGGTGACTGGACTGTAACTTCACATCTAGGTTTTGTGCACTTCACTAGTCATTTTGAAAGAAGAAAGAAAATCACTGAACACTGAAAACCAGATTTCATTTACCTTAAAGCTATCAAGATTATTTGTTGACAAAACATTCTAATCTTACTAAAAATGAGAATTAAGAAAGAAAACTAGGAACAGAGGAAATTTGACCTTGAATACAGACTAGGTAGGCTATTTATCTTGCAACTGCTGAAAGCATTTCTTATCTTAGACTTCAGAGATATTCCTCCTAGGGAGCTGGAGAGCACTACAGGCATGGTGTCTTTATTCCTTGATGTATTGTATCCAATCACTTTTTATTTCACAGTTCATTATCAAGAAACATTAACTTCTGTAAGAATGAAACTGAGTTTCCATGGAAGCTTGCTTACACTCAAAAGATAATTCAGATGAAGAATTACATGTATGAATTTTTATTCCCTGTGCATTTTGGCAGGAGATTTCAAAGAAAATAGAAATAAAAAGAAACAATCAGAGACTTTAAAGCAAAAGGAAGAGTCTGTTCATCTGTCAGAGTCTGGTTTATTACCTAACTTTGCTGGTTAAATAGATAAATTTCAACTGTTGAGTTTAAAAACTTATTTTTGTTGGTAATCCACATGATTTTAATAAGAATACTTGAAGACATTTTAATAAGAATACTTCAGGGCTATGTACTACTACACACAGGAAATTCTGGAATCAGAATATAAGTTGCTAAATGTAATTTCCATATGAGAAAACACCATTCACATATTCTAAATACATTTGGATCATAGGTTTTAAAGACGTAGGGTGCCTTTGTGGTCTAAATATATAATTTCAAAGAGCTCTCTATGATGATTAATATAGGAGAGAATTTTAGAAGACTTTCTTAGTTTGAAGGGCCTATATCAGGCTGTATAACAGTTCTAGGATAGAGAGAAAAAGATATAGAAGTAAAATGAGATATTGTGTTGGTATCCACATAAATTAGCACAATGTAAAGGGCCAGAGCTTGACCACTCTTGCCAAGTTTCTAAAAGGGTTTTTAAAATTATTGGCATAATAACGCTAGAGAAGTGATGGAGTGGTCCTCACTTTTTTCCAAGCAGAGATATAACTATCTATCCATCTGTATGGATATATATATATATAGGTATAGATATGCATATACTCCTTGCCAAGAATATAGTGAGAATATCTAATGTAGGACTGAAGATCCTTTATTCAGCCTTATCCTAAATGTACAGAGACTTGACCTCTGCATAACAAAACTGAGTTTTGTTGTTTGCAGATTAAAATCTTAAGATAATTTTGCAGCAATATCATATAGATACAATCTATATCATTATTATTCAATGAAGATGTGAGGTACTAGAAGTATTCTTTTATTGACTAGTGTATTTAAAGATTCTCTGAGGCTTCTCTTCAGTACAGTCATTATGAAACCAGACTGGACAGGGGCAGAGTCAGAAAGTCAGAAAGCATCTCCTCATTTTAAACTGGGACAGCATGAGACAGAGCAGGTGCTATTTTATGGGTATGCATTCTTAAATATTGAATGGAATGTGTAATGCATCATTCTAACAATGAAGGATATGTTTCTTTGTCTGCAGAGAAGAATGTGTAGAATTAAAGTAACCAGTATGAGCATAATTTCTTTATTGTTTGCAACATAATGACAAGAGAAGCAGCAGCTGCTGAATTGAGCCTTCCTTTATCGCTCAGGACGAGGAGAGCGAATGAGGAGAATGCAGATGTTGGGTTGAATTCTGTACACAAGCAAGTGATAGCATCCAGTGTAGAAACAGAGTATCAAAAGAGGGCTTTCATACAACTATTATCTTTGGTGTCTCTTCAAATGTGCAGATACTGTAGAAAAACAGCTGCAGAACTTCACTCTGTGATCAGATTAGTTATTTCAGTCAATAATGCAAATATAACCCAGCACACTGAAAGTTGCCTTGGGAAAGTGGAAACCTTCCAGGGTTAAGCACCCTCTCTTCCAAAAGGGCCCAAGTTAAAATGCTGGGTTTGACACCAATTTTCTGTAGGACTTCAGGCTATTCATGTACTTCCTCTGCTCTGACTGTAATATCTGGGAAAAAAAAGAGAATACTGACTCACCTACCTCAAAGGCAAACTAAAGATTAATTAGTTTGTGCTCGTATAGAGCTTTGAAAATGTCAAGGCTATATAACTACTGTTAAATAAATGGCAAAAAGTCAGATTGGACAAGAACAGAGCAGGACTGCAAGGGTTTATCACTGTATCTTAGTAATTATCTTCAACACTATCCAGAAAAGATTTCTTATAGTAGATATAGGTAGTTAGGAGAAAAGTATGGAGCTGTTTTATAGCAGTATTTCTTCAGAGAATGTAAAAGGAAATGAGAAAGCAAGCACAAATTTTAACTTTTCTGAACTTTTAAATTCAGCAGGGCAATATGTCAGTGCTCTATCTCAATTGGTTCATCTTTTACTGAAGTACTGTTCAAATACTACTTTATAATACATCTGGAAAGGTCCTGTCCACTTGAATGGGAAATAAAAAATAATAAAAAATATCCCTCTGACAGAGAATAGGGCCACAGGGCTGAATGTAGTTAATTTGCTTCCATTCTACTTTATACAAAGAACATCACCACTGTAAGTCCTGAATTTTTCTGAGAAAACTGCAGTAATCAATGTTCCCATGATGACAGTTTGAATGTGATGTATTTTATTCATAGTGAAGTGATTACTTAGAAACTGCACAAGAAGAGCTAGCTTCCTCCCTCATCCCATCCCAAGCAGTAAACAAAATTTCCTAAATATTCTCATTGACTCTCACAAAAATTCCCTAAATATTTCCATTGAGTCTCACAAAAATTCCCTTAAGTTTCCCATTATTTTACCACCAGAAGTCATGCTGTTCTTATTTTTCAGTTTCCAGTGTCCATCTTTGCAGACATCAGATTATTTGAATTTGCTGGCACAGGATCACTAGTCATTTAAAAGTTGCTCTTTTCTGTCAATGCATAGGCATGCCCATTCTTAATATTCTGGTATTTAGAAATACACCAATCACTTTATTGGGGCTCTCAAATAATTTCACCCTGCATCAGGAGGATCAGACAAACCATATGGAGACACATGGATCTTACATTTATTGTGTTTATCTGGATTTAAATGTACAAGCATTTTTATTCAAGACTAACAATGTCATGTAAAGTTACAGTGCTGCAGATATTTGAAGAAAAACAGGGTGAAACTCAAATTAGAAACAGGTTCTTACAGAAGGTACATTTGGAGTGCTGCTGGTAGGGTTTTGTTTGAGAAGGAAACATAAGATTTGTGAAAGGATACAAGTTCTTCAAAAATAAAAATCAAGCCATGCTCTTCCATTTAAATTTGTTGGTTGTGCAAAATTATGACCTCTGTACCAGTATGAAGAATTATGAGCTGAATTATGTGTAAGAGTGACTCCTGAAGGGCATCAGCTCTCACATAATCCAGACATCTTCTTGCATTTTAGTTTTCTGTATATAAATGCACCCCTCCACACAAACAAAGGAAGTGTGTAGATTTACCATGAAAGCAGACAATTACACATGAGTAATTTGATTCATATGAGAGAGAACCTAAAACAAAATAAACTTTTTTTTGACAAATGCTAATTCTACCATTTGTTATAAACTCACATGGTCTCTGAAAACTGATATTGAAGTTCTCCATATTTACAGGTTTTCAAAGTTAAAACCTCACCAAGGGCAAAAATCAACGGCAACATATCTAAGGCTGTCAGGAGAGCTGAATGATAGCATGTCAAAAATGTAGAAGCAATAACTCCATGGAGTAGAGCAGGGAGCATAACACACTCCCACAGATGCACCAGATTCCACACAGTCATCACTCCAAACACTACACCCACTGACACTTACCTCATGATTATCTTCTCAGGTTATATTCCTCCCAAGCATCCTGAATATTTGATTTATTTGCACTATTAATTTATCCATCCCACCTGTGTTCCCTTAGATATTTAATTGATTGTCCTTAATTGATCTGGCCATCTGTGATATCTTAGTCATTTAATTGTTTTTTTTTTTATTGATCTAAACACCTTGCAGCTTTTTTGTCACCTAGATGAATCAAAAATCACTGGCTGGTATCATTTATATCTCTTAATTTTTAGTCTGCATCTATGCACTTTCATCTTCTGTGGGAGATGGGGCAGAGGAGGAAAACAAACATGTGAAGTCTCATTATGTTCCAACCTGTCTGGCCAGGAGTTGGGTGGCATAAACCCCACTGATTTCAGTGACACCTTTCCTAGCTACTGAGGCATCAGGGCACTCATTCTCTTTAAAATAAAATAAAATAAAATAAAATAAAATAAAATAAAATAAAATAAAATAAAATAAAATAAAATAAAATAAAATAAAATAAAATAAAATAATAAAATAATTGTGCATAACAAGATTTGCAGCATGGTGGTAAGTCTCCCTCTTATCTTGACCTGCAATGGAAGTGAATTCCCTTGAGTTCTCTTTTAAGAACACTTTAGCCCATCAGTTAAGCACTACTGACAAGCAAAGTGTCATTGTTGATTTTAGCTCTCACACAATAAAGCACTGCTACAAATAGTAGGTGTCATAATGGCATTCTGAATAATGAATGGCATAAAGGATATCTTTTTCACTTATTAAGCCTTTGGGCACAGAATTAAAGGCATGGGAGATAATACCTGATATAGCAAATTATATGTAAAAGTGAAGTTTTATGTAAAATTATGTAAAATATATGTAAAATAGATGAAAATCTTGTTCTGGCTGGGACACTTAGATATAATCTATAAATTGTGACAGCTCTGGTGAAAGCAGACAAGACATTTGTAAGAATTAGAAAAGGACTTGATGGTTTCCTTTAACAAGAAAATATTTGATGTACTTTACACAGTCTCCTGGACATCTTTGTCTATTGCCTAATTATAGCAGTTCATAATCTAGCAGTTAGTAAAGTAATATAGATAATATAGAGAGAAGAGAAGGTAATAGCAATCGTTCACCTGCTCTGTTTCATGCTTGTAGCCTCAGACAAGTAGGACCTGCAAGTAAACAAAAAGGACACAAACAATGCAGAAAACAGAGAGGAAGAACTGAAATAGGCTCACAGTAATGGAAAGCAATCCCCCTCAAAAAAGGAAAAAACTCAAGAAGGGAAAGTAGTGGGTGCAGACTTAAAGCTGAGTCAGTAAAACTGTAGTGGAAATCTCAAAAGCAAGGAAAATCTGAAAAATAAAAAATAAAAGTCTATATTCAGGGTAGCAAAATAGAGCAGATCACAACACACATAAAAATTATCTTCCATCTGACTCCTTATTCAAAAATTCTGTGGCACAAATCTGACACTGGCCAGCACTGGAAACCTCACTGGAAGGAGGAAATCCAGAAGAGAGAAGAGTTCTTACCTTCCTAGCTGCTAGCTGTGCCTGAAAATTCTGTATCCTGATTAGAGTCTTTCCTGTTTTTATATTTATCCTCTTCATATATCATTACTGTCCTAGCAGGTGTCCTGCATTCCACAGAATAATAGCATATTGTTTGACAAAATTATCTTTCCTTAAACTTTGGGGGTTTTTTGTGTGTTTGCCAATATTTTCTAACTAGAGGACCTGCAACTAAAACTTTCTGATATACCTATTTCAGAACACTTGCTTGCCTCTTTTTCTCTCTGGAATTTTCTCCTTTTACTGGTTCATGGCCAGACTGAAATGTGTTTATCTTGACCACACACAAGTATCCAAATCATAAAAAAGTATGCCTTCTGACAGTGCCCCAATGAGTGCAAGTTTCTCCCTGAGAAAATAATAAAATTTAACACAGAGGTAAAAGCCGATTAATTAAAATAATCCATTCATTTGATATAACAAAACTCTGTCTATACTTTTCATCCTGGATCTGTGCACTCATAAACAGCATAACCTGTATATTCTACCTGCTTCAATGTGTTCTATCCATTAATAAGCTCTGTAACATCTCCTTCCTGTCTCTGGAGCATGGTCCTTCTGCATGGGATTCCATTTCTGACTTGGCTGCCAAGTCTCATGGGGACCTTTGTGTGAAGGCATGAGGAATAGGTGGTGGCAGATTGGACAACTTGTCCAAAACTGTGTAAGATGGTTACTTTAATTTCATTCTATTCTAAAAGCATAAACCAAACCAGTCAGTTTCTTCACAATTCCACTGAAGGTATATCTACCTGCAAGCTGCCTTCAGAATTCCCCTTGCTATTGGCAGTGTAGTTTCTTTGATATTTCTAGCACCGCAGCACCTAATAAGATTTGCTCTTACCAAAGACATATTGAGTAGTTGAGAAGCAAACAGCTCCTCAAATGCCCAGTGGGCATAATCTCATAGTGCTCTGAGACCCATCTGCATATCCAAGCCTGGTTGTGATAGGCCTGCCACCTAAGTGCTCTTCAAGAGCACCAGCCTGTGGACCACTGCTACAAAGAAAGAGGCCAGTGTGACTAAGAACACCTGTCTGACTTGTCCTATCCAAGGAAAAGTGAATTTCAAGAGCTACAGTAGGGTTTCCCAGCAACAGGAAAAGCACACTACATCTAGGTCCACATCATAATGGCCTAAACTGACATGCACAAACTGAGTCCTTTCCCTCCAAGACCTGAGCCGTGTCTCAAGGTTGGCTGGACTCAGGCTTGATTTAATTTTGCCAGTTCTGATTTGGATGTGAATACAGGCACACACAACATGCAACAGACAACAACTTATTGCAGCTACTGATGCTGACATTTCATTGTGATGTAACATCTGATATGCAGCAATTCTGGATTTAACTCCTGGCCAATGTAAAAAGACAATTTTCCTCTGTCAATGAATTTTTAATTCGTAATTCCAGTATCTATCTGGCAATGTTCACAGAAAAAAAGGAAATAAAACTCATAAAAATTTATATTCTGTCATCTGTCTTTCTTGGTTATATCACTTTTCCTCAGACAGTGGAAAAGACTCCAACTGTTTGAAACACAGACATTTGTTTACCTCTATTTCACACAGCTTTAATCTCTTGATTTTCTCACTCACATTGTCCTGTCTCTCAATTCCTAGATTTCATCTCCATTTTAAACCCTATAAAATGTTATTTGGTGGTGAATGGGTTCTCATTATTTTAATTACAAATTGGTAGGTTAATGGCTATTGGAGAAAAACACTTTAAGAGGAGGAAAGATGGTTAATACAGTCATGCTGCTACCAGTCCAGCAAAAACTAGTTTATGCCATAAGAAAAGTTAAATTTGAAGGAAAGCTTTTGAGAAGGCCAAGTCAAGAGGTCAGTGTTTTCAGGGAAGAATAATCTTGGAGACAGACAGTAAAGTAAACCTCTCTGTAGATTAACCAACCCTCTGCACTCTGCTTGTTGTCTTCAGGGACAATTTATCAGACTCATATAAGCTCCATCTGTTTTCTCCTTCAGGGAGAAGATCAAATATAGTGATAATTAAATCCTCAACAAAGCTTTAAATTGTCTTTTTTGCAAATAAAATGGTGATTCTGTCCTTCATTCTTATTCAGCAGACCTACCTGCTGGGCTCAAACCCACATCTCCCAAAAGCAATTTTTTTCTTCATTTTATGTGATCAGTCAAATTTCTTGACAAAACTTACATTTTTATGAGGAAACATGCCAGTAATGTATCCAAATCTGTTTTTGAGTCAAAATACCTTAATTTGACTCTTCTCATACCACTCAAATTTTCACAGCCACTGCTTAAAAAGTGAATTTCAGGTAAGAAAACAAGGATGCATAAATTGAAAAATAAAAATATATTTTAAAGATTTCCTCTTTAGAGAGATATGATTTCAATTCATCAGCCACCTCTATAGAAACAGGATTTCTATTTTCTTTAATATTACTCCAGTTATTCCATAATGTACATATCCCAGGCAAGTCTGCTATATATCTTCATCTCTTTTTTTTCTCCCTCCCTTTTCTGCTTATTTTGTGACTCAGGCTGTCAAGATGTTAGAGTCACATACTTTATTAGTCTGTATTTCAAATAATACAGTTTTTTTTCTTTGTCCTGCCCCGTAGGCTTTATAAGACGAAAGCAGGAGTGAATATTACTTTGTAGAAAGGAAATAATTTATATTTGAAGCCTGTAGTGGAAATGTTACAGTGGAAGCCTTGGACTGATTAGATTGTTTCAAAGCTTTCCTGTGACTTTGATTGATTGAATTTGCCCATGGCACTCCTAGTGGTAATGATACTGTGATTATTTAAGCAGCAAGTAACTTAAGAATAGGCTGAGCATGTTAACTTTGAATTTCCTAGCTTTCAGCATTTTACATTTTCCACAGTTTTTATTCAAGAATAGTGCAGTTTGTATTGTGTGGTATTTACCGCAGCTGTCATTCACTTACTTTTGTTGTTTGAATTTTGTATCACAATTTTGTGGAAATAGGTAAGCTCTTTCCATGGGTAAGGCCTCAAACAACTCACTCAACAAGGCTTTTAAAAGGGCCTTTTTTGATTCATTTACTTTGAGTTAGACACACAAGAGAAATACCAACAAGATATTCTTAAGAGGTCAAAAGAACAAGAAATACTTTACTGGCAATTTTAGTAAATCAGACAACTTTGCAAAAACGTTTAGAGCAGCATTCAAACAACATGAAACACTTCCACAAAGCATTAAATTAACCCATTCAACTTAGCAAATTCTAAACCTTTTTGATATTACTCAAAGTTTTTGGAGTTACTCAAAAATTCTGAGAAGAGGGAAATAGAAGAAAGAAAGCAAGAAAGACAAAAAATATATAGAAAAGAGCAGATACAGCTACAAACTCCCAGGGTCCAGCAGTGTTGAGCCGATAGAAAGTGCAGAAGGATGTAGGGTGAAGAAATGTATTTGCCTCATATTCAGCTCTAAATACTTCCTGGCCTTTTCCCCTGGTGGAATTTCTGTTCATTTGGCCAGTTAGGAGCTGAGCTGGAGGCTCAAGGTGCAGGTGAGGACCTTTGGTATGCCCATGGTTGGCAGCCCCTGCCAGGCAGGAATTCTGGCTCCAGGGAGGTGGGATGAGTGGGGCAGTGCGCTGCCTTGTGGGGTCAAGGCCATTCCTGCCCCTTCACCCACACTTGTGCACCCCAAAATGTCTTCAGAGATCCGTCTCTGCAGCCTCTCACACCGTGCTGGGTGTATGATGTGTGTGCCAAGGCAGTTTTAGTGGTACTGGCACTCTCTGGAGCAGACAGGCCTCCGTGCCTCCCTTCCAGAAGAAATTATCAGACAGCAGACAGTTATGGTTACTGGAGAGGAAATAGGATAAGGAGAGCTCTCACAGTCTCTGAACAAACAGCTGAACAGTCTGCAGGACTTGTCACAATACTGTGCCTTGTCCTTTTACACAAGTAACAGTATTTCCCCTCCTCAGACAGTACCTCTCCTGGTACGTTCTTTGCTTCTTCTGGGGGATGCAGCAGTGAGCAGCAGGACAGGAACCAGCATACACCTTTCCTTTGGGCTAACTGCCTCACTGCCCAGTGCATTTGCTTTGCCCTTCATTCTCTCCTTTTGCTTGTAAGCTCTTATTCTCTTAGTCATCCCACTTCCTTCACACCATTAAGAGACAGTAACCTTTTACTTCTGATGCTACACTGGTTTTATTTCTATTTGTAGCGCTCCTTTTATAACTGTCTTCACTGGCATCCCACACGCAGACATCTCCTCTCTTGTATTCAGCATAGTGCAAATAATAATTTCCTGTCAAGCATTTTCTGCTTGAATGCATTTTTTTTCCAGTGTCAAAAATAAAAGGTACATAAATATCTTCAATCTTATTTTAAAAATCTAAAGGACAAAGTTATTTTTAATTGTGTCTGAAAATCCATTATGGTTGGGACTGTGGGCAGTTAATGTGAATTTCTATATCATTGAAGAAGATCATGAGGAATGCGAACAAACATTTTTCTGAAGCTGCAAGATTTTAAACACAACCTTTTTACTTGTTTTTTTCTACCCCTTGCCTTTAAAACACTCACAACATAAGGCCAGGTGGGTGCACTGGCCATGTGGCTAAGAAAGCCGGTGGCCTGTATCAGGAATAGTGTGGCCAGCAGGAGTGGGGAGGTCATTCTTCCCCAGTATGTGGCACAGGTGAGGCCCCACCTGGAGGGGTGTGTCCAGTTCTGGGCCCCCAGTTTAGGAAGGACATTGAGATGATGGAATGTGTCCATAGATGGACAACAAAGCTTTACCAACAAAGCTGGTAAAGGATTTGGAACACAAATGAGGAGCAGCTGAGGGAGATGGAGCTGTTCAGTCTGGAGAAAAGGACGCTCAGGGGAGATCTTACCACTCTCCACAACTCCCTTAAAGGATACAGGTGACAGTAGGTCTCTTCTCCCATGCAACTAGCAGTAGGACACGACACAGGCTTAAGTGTGCCAGGGCAGATTTAGGCTGGGCATTTGGAAGAAGGTCTTCACAGAAATGGGCTGCCCAGGGAGGTGGTGGAG